TTTAAAACGGGAAATTGTCTTGAAATTTACTAAATGTTTCACAATAATAGTTTACATTTTTTCCGTAGGACAAGTCTGCCGCGTGCACACATGGTATGCACAAGCTGTGTAGCGTTAGATTGTAGATTGTAGATGTAGCGCGAAACGCTATTGCCACGTTGCCGTTGTGATGAAACTCCCCAATATTAATACTCGATGTATTTTGAAAACTGTAACCTTACGCCCCTGTAATATACAATTTTTTTGTTCATTTATGATTACTCTATCTCTATTCTATTATTAGCTTCCGTATATTATACTCTATTTCAAATGTATTCAAACAATTTTTTAAAATTTTATTAGATGAAATCTTCCATACCAAAAATCCAGATATGCAAATGATATCTAGACAAGACTCCTCATCACTGTTGATATCGGGAATAATCATAAATAATTACTGATATATTGTATTAAAAATTTCTTTGAATTTCAGGTTTTTTGTGTTAGGTAATTATATTTAGACATATCATTTTTGAATTTTATTTTAGACAATTATTTATTATTGGCTGTTTACTAGGTATTATTGGTGTTAATAAATGCTAATTAAGGTATATAGTCTATGATCAAATTATAGAAGATAAATCAAACTAAGAATTGTCAGGTGGGATTGCCAAAAAATAATTATAGAAGCTCGTGGACCTTTTCAAAGGAAAGCGAAAATTAAAAAAAAATCCTATTTGTTATGATTTCTGAAAGATGGTCTTTAATTTTTGAGACTTGCCTTAACCAAGGATATACAGGGTGGTCCGGATTTTAATAGACAAACTTCGGGAAAGTACTAAACAACAAAAATTAACAACACTTTGTTCTATGAACATATGCGCAGAAAGCCGCCGTTTATGAGATACAGGGCGTTGAAATTATCAAAAATAAAACAATTTTTTTTAAATACCTGGAAAACCGCTTCATCAAATTTATCCAAATTTGGTACACATTTTTTTTCGAATATTTCTCCTAGTTCTGTATGCACACAGTCCAAATCCAAAAGCCAGTGGTGGACAAACAAGGACGTTGTTTCCTTATTTAGAGTAAAACTTCTACGCCACTGAATTAATTGGTAATATGAATACATACATAACGGTCTGAAATATTCTGAAATATGTTTATTTTCATAGAGCAAAGTGATGTTAATTTTTGTTATTTAAAACTTTCCCGAAGTTTGTCTATTAAAAAATCTGGACCACTCAAATTTGTTTTATTTTTCCCTATTTCAACGCTTTGTTTACTTGAATAATATGTCTCATAACTCGTAAACCATTCACTTTTCGATAAAAATAAAAGAATGTTTTTTTCATCCGGAATGTTTCAGACTATTATAAAATGTATTCATATTACCAATTAATTCAGTGGCGTAGAAGTTTTTCTTTAAATAAGTAAACGACATCCTTGTTTCTCCGCCACTGGTCTTTGAATTTGGACTATGTGCTTACAAAACTAGGGGAAATATTTGAAAAAAAATGTGTACCAAATTTGGATAAATTTAATAAAGCCGTTTTTCAGATATTTAAAAAAATTGTTTTATTGTTGTTAATTTTAACGCCCTGTATCTCATAAACGGTGGCTTTCTGCGCCTATGTTCATGGAGCAAAGTGATGTTAATTTTTGTTGTTTAGTACTTTCCCGAAGTTTGTCTATTAAAATCTGGACCACCCTGTATTTAGAAATCAGTTGAAAAAATCAATTGGGTAAAACACATATTTTGCTGTGCAGATATGACCAAATAATCTGATTAATAGAAACAAAAATTATTTGACCTAACTAATTAGTTTTCTGCGTGTGGATTTATCCGCAAAGACAAACTTTTACGTTACGCATAGTAATTATGTAATAATTCGAGGTAAGTATACAGGTAATATACTTTCAATTTTATCCTTATACCACTAGCGAATACATTCCGCCAATTAAAATAATTACAGATGAAAACGATTGCAGAGGTATCTGATAATTACTTTTTCCCTGGAGGATTATAAATATTCCTTTAAAATCTATTGCGTAAGTTCACTACAATCCGGAAAAATAACTGTCATATTCTCGCGTTAAAAAAAGATACTGTAGACTACAGTGACACATTTAGGAGGACTTCTTATATCTGTTTGCCAAACTACAATTCTGTTGGCCTGTCCTTAATGCCTCGCATTTAGTAGGGCACCTAAACTGGGACAAGTTATTGGCACGTCGTTAATTGCACATAAAAATATTAGCAGATGTTTTCACTCGTCCTATTCAATACAACACACGACACCAAGCGGTAATACAGCATTCAGAATCAATTAAGAGACACGGTCCCTCATTAATCAAACAATGAATTTGGTCACATGAAGGAAATATTTAATATAAATGAACATAATCAAAGATATGAACATGAAAAAAAAAAATGATTGGCGTACGGAGAGTTGTGTTGGCCATTTCCAACTTATAAAATTTTCTAACTAAGGCTTATTTCGATATTTTTTCGATATATTTTCGTTAATTTTAACGCAATTTTACTGTTAGTGAAAGTTTCTTGCGCAGCAAAATCCTGTTTGTCATGTAACTTATTTATTTTTTACTCTTTTTTGTTTTCGTATTTTCTTTGACTTTCTACGAGACCACTTCTCGTTGTGAACTTTCTGAAAACTCTTCAAGATTTTATATGCTCATTCAAGCTAAAGAGATTATAGTCCATGAGCTTTAGTTTAAGCTGTTGAAGAAGCCCTAGGTGCTTTGGAAGCGGAATTATGACATTTAAGATTTTTTAATTTTCAAGGTGTCAAATCCGTGAACGGTCATTTTGAGCAATTTCTCTTCTTTAGTTTAAAATCGCTGTAAACCTGATTCTATAGCACTTTGAAACTTCTCCAAAAAACCAAATTATAGGCCATTCATTTTAATTTGATAACCTACTACTATCATATTGTCCTGGTACCTTTTTCTTTAAATCCTGAAGAGAAACAGCCAAAAATGTTAAAAAATCTTCTTTTTGGGGAGACTCTCGACTTAAAATGGTTGCAACTTGGATTCTATAGCACCTAGAAACTTCTTTAAAAAAAACAAATTGAGGGTTTTTTCTCTACTTTAATAATCTGTGATAAATATTTGTCCTAATTTCTTTTACAATTATGTTTAAGGAGTAATGTAATTGGAGGAGTAATTTCAAAGGATTTTCCATATAGGAAGCTTTTCGTCGATATTTTTTCATAAAAGTACATCTTCAGACCTTCAAAAATCACCCCGGTTATTTTCAGTAGCCCTATTCTATGAGGCGCTACAGATTTTTGTCCAATTTAGGTCGATTCAGACTATAGTGCGGCGTACTAATTTTTCACAACATTCAATATTTGTGTGAAGTAAATCCTCATGTTCTACAGAGATCTCAGTTCCAACAACGGTTTTCAGTGAATATGTGGTGTGGTCTTTTGGTAACAGAATTTTGGAAGCATGTTTATTAGCACACGGAAACAACTTCATTTTTGTAAAGCACATCTTTTAATGGTAATTCGTTTATTCGTTTAATTTTTGTGTCACTTTTAAACGAGGTTTAAATAAATTTCAGCGTTTTCGAACACAAAATTTAAACAGCCGCACCAGGGCTTTAACTTTGTTTAAACATTCATGTGATTTTTTTTTTCAATTTAAAACGTAATGTTATTAAATAAAAGTTGCTTATTTTCGTGCCTTGTATCGCCTTTTTCAAGGAAAAAACTTATTTCAGAAATACCCTGTATATGAGGGCATGTACCTATGCTATTTTTAAATTATCTAATAAGTACCTCAAAATCGGAATATGGAATGTATAAAATCTGTTGGTATTATCTAAATTATAGGATAAATTGTAACTACTTCAAAAAAATGTAAATTTAAACTTCTGTGGCAATATTACGTATAGGTGCATGGAAAAAAAGTAATTTTTGAATATTCACTTCGCCGTCAATTTGGAGTTGCAATAAATGAACTAAAAAATATAACTTTCTACTCTCATATGCACGCAACAATTAGAATTATCTCACGACAGAAAGTGAATTTTTTCCGAACTGAAAAACGTTAAATTTATAATTTTCTTAATTAAAATACTAAAATGAACCGTTACACACTATTATTTTAATTTAAATGAAACAATTTTTACACAAGCCTAGACATATTTAAAAAACCAAACTATATATCACAGAATTACATTTTATTTGACAAATATCATTTTCCATATGAATTTAACAATAAAGTACTCTACTAAAAATGTGCATATTGCAATGCAATTGAAACTATTAAAAAACAATTCGTTTTGAATTAAACCGAATGTAAAGTTGTACAATATGAATACTAAAATATAACATTCGGATTAATAGGTTTTTTTTGGGGAAGTGAAGAATTTTTTAACGAAAAAAAATGACTATATACATCAAATTATTGTAAAAATTCAGTGGCAAAATATACCATTATTTAATATAAGTACTCTAAAAAATGCCTCAGGCAAATATCCTTGATAATCAAAAATTAAAATAGGGAATAAAGAAAAAGTCCTGAAGTAAGGAAGCAAAAATATTTTCATATATTTCATAATAATACAATAATACTCAAAACACAGAGTTAAAAAATAAACAGATCAGTGATGGTGAAACATAAATAAATAATAGGGTAAAAGCAGCGACAGGTCCATCGGTCACAACGAAGGTTAAAAAAAAATACCGAGTGAACACCAAGACTGAACCGACACGCGCGCGCACGCGGAAATTCGAAAATTTCACATAACCCGCGTAGTCGCGTCGTGGCTAGATGCTTCTCGTTTCCGTTTGCACCAGTAAAACTTTAGAAAGTTCGTGTGAATAAAGTTTAATAATGACACACACGGAAATTGTGGTAATGGAACAGAAGAAATCTCGAAAGTGAAAGTTGAGGAACGTTGGCTCTCTACGGAAGGAATCGCTAAGACGTCCCTTTAATGAATGAACGGAGATCAGGCTCGAAACGTTGAACGTTTAGAAAATCGTTGGGGGCTCTATGACAAGTGTGATTTGTTAAATTACTAAACCGTTTCTATAAACGAACAAAAAAAAACATATAATTACACTGGAACTAGTAAAATATGCAAATCCAACCGGGACTTATAATTAATTTCAGAATTAATTGCATATCTAAAGGAATTCAATCAGTTTTTGAGAGAAGGAAAAAATAAAATTTGGTTCCACTCTACAAATCGTTAAAATTATTTCAGGATTCCTGTTCGAAAAAAAAAACACGTCTTGCTCTACCTGAATAGCCGCTTTATCAGTAACTTTTACGACACATGACCTTGAACAAATATTTAGACGCTGGCGACTGTGATATACGACATTTACCAGTATCGCGGCGTTTTTGTTATTCTAACGAAGCCCTCCGTGTTTACACGGAATAAAGGAACTCTCAAACAATACCGGGTCATAAAGCCTCTCACGGGGGATAAGATAAAGGGTACGTAGCCCAAATGGAGCATGTTTACTCTTCAGACACGAATTTACACTCACTATTTACAGCGCACCTGTTCATTTTACCGGGCTCGCTCAGTTCCGCCGCACTAGCTTGATTCTTCTCCGGATCCTTATCCCTAGCACCGGCGTCGACGCTCGGCGACGAGAAGAACCTTATCTCCAGGTCCCGGTGTCCGTTCAGCGACGTCACGATCTCCGTGGACACCTCCAGGTCCCTGCAAGACGAAGAACTGGAAGATCTCGAAGGGGGAAGCTTCTTGTTCTCTTCCTCCTCCAGGGAAATGGTGGACATGCTGTGCACCAAGCAGTGATTCTCGCTGTTGGACACGGGGCAGGAGTACGCCACGTCCAGATTTAGGTTGGGGAAGTGGAACGATTTGCTGTGGCTGTTCGGGGGCGTCAGGAACGGCGAGTAGCAGTTCCTGTCCACGTCCCAGATCTGGCCGCTGGGGTCGCAGTAGCGACACTGGCACGTGCTGGTGGACTGGTTGCCGTTGATGTCCTTACCATCATCCAACTCTTCGATGTCCTCGAAAGAGTGGTGTAGCTTCGGGGTCTCGGAGATGTCGCCCAAGATGTGGCACCTGTCGATCAGCTGGGGCGACTCAGGAACTCTGTACGAGGGAAAGGGGTCGAACGTGAAGGGTATGAAGGGGCCGATGGTCAGCACGCCCGACTGGGCGTTGTCGATGTCGGGGCTGGCGCTGTCGGTGGAGAACCCGTCCTGGCTCAACGGCCGTCCGAGCAGTGGAGGCTTCCGGTCCTTTTTCCGCCGCTTCCGCGGTTTTATAATGCGCGGTAAACAGTTCTCGGAGTTGGCGGAGCCCGAACTCTCGTCACTCGTCACACTCACAGCGTCCACCCCGGCACCAGAACTGTTCTGTTGTTCCTGACACTTATTTGGTTTCTTGTTGTTGGAGTTCTCGAAGACCTTGGTCGACGCGGCATTGTTCCTGTGCACCTTGTTCTTGCGGTGGTTGTAGCTCTTGGCCAGGATGAGGGGCGCGCCCTGGGTGTGCACCGCTAGCCTCGCCAGCGGGTTAGCGTGGTGATCCTCCGTCCTGTTGGCTCCTACGTCGGCCTCGTTGCGCCTGTTTCGTCTCTGGTGATTGGCGAAGGAGATCAGCGGCATGCCACCTGCCCAGCCGTCCACGGACTGGCATCTCTGCAGTCGAAAGTTCACATGGTGCTGATAAATGTCAGGGATGTAGTGGTCCCTGTTCTGGGGAAATATATGCTCGTTTCGCACTTTGCCGGCGGTCGCGTTCTTCGATCGATTCTGCGAAATCAGACAGGCTCCGATGTAGCGTTCCACTTCGAGATTGCCAGAGGAAGCGGGGCTCATGGCAAGCAGATCGCGCTTATTGCGACGGCTCACATGCCTTACGGGCGAGCTGCGAATGATTCCGTGCGGAATAGCAAACCGGCAGGCGACGACTGAACCGACTGCGACCACTTCGGAGCGGCTACGGCGCGAGTGGAGTCGCCCCACCACGCTGGCTGCACTAACCTACTTCTCGGCCGCGGTGTCGAGACTCGAACAAAGAGAGCGCACCAACATCCACCCACACATCTAGGTCACTGGATTTGAATGTAGTACTATAATAGCGCTCTCCTCTGCTGGCTCTTCCGACGGGTGAACCTCTCGTTGCACCCCGTGCCGCCCAAACAGGGCGAATCTCCGCGGAACAGCTGAGGAAAGACCGCGTCCCCGATTCCGCGTGGATGTCCTTATTCATTTGTAGGCCACACCGCGAGATGGAGGTCAGCTCGAAATTAACGCAAAAGGGGCGTCTTTTATTTGCTCTTTGCGAGATGCGGAAGCCAAACTTACACAGTAGTCCAAGCATTAGAGAAATGCTTACAGAAATTATTACCTGAACAAAAAAAATATGACCGTATAGAAAATTAAATTTTAAATTGAGTTTCTTGTTCTTTAAACTCGATCCAAAATGGCGAACATGGTTAAAAAAATCTCAAAGTTGCAAAAAACGGTTTTTCTAAAATAACTAAAAAAATATAGCACCGAGTGAAAAATTTTATATGAGAAAGTTGTAGGTTTTAAAAAGATCTATCGACTGATTTTTTGTAAGTATCGATTGCTTTGTTACTTTTCGAGATATATCGAATTTACATTTACGTGCCCATATTTGCTATTTACTGCAAGCATAGCCCGCGACAAGCCAAAAAAGTACATTTTTGAAAAATTTAAAAATATTAATTATTTTTCGAGATATATCGATTTTTTTGAAAAAAAAGGCGCTCTCGAAAATTGGCTAGATCTCAGCGGATAGCTCTACAGTAACAATTTTCGGTTTATTTTATTCGTAAAGAGTTATATTATCATGCTGTTAAAAAATGTTGACGATTTTATTAATTTTAAGAATCAAAAAATAACTGAAAAAGTTGCACTTTTTTTGGGCGTTTTTTTTTCAAATAACTATTTCAATTTTTATGAAAATGACTTTTAACGAAAGAAACTGCTGAAATTTTTTCACGAATTTAAAAAAAATGTTTTTTCTACGACCTTCTGGACCGTTTTTTGCAACTTTGCGATTTTTTTTAACCATGTTCGCCATTTTGGATCGAGTTTAAAGAACAATTTAAAATTTAATTTTCTATACGGTCATATTTTTTTTGTCCAGGTAATAATTTCTGCAAATTTAACATTAATCCCTGACAGAATGCTTGGACTAAGAGTTTGTGATAACGTTCTAATGCAAAGCCGGTCTAATTTTTGTACAGGGTGGACCATAAATCCTTTTTTATTGCGGCTTATTTTTTTGTCTACTATTAAGATATTTGAATGGAGCAAAATGCGGATGTGTTAGCCAGAAATATTTAATACGTTTCTTTGCCGTCCTGTGCAAACAATAAAGGGCGTTTTTTCTTAAAAAATATCGATTTTTAGTGAAAAAATATGAGTCATGTTTTTAAATTCAATTATTTTTTTTTTTCGTTTATTCATTTTGCCCTGATCAAATATCTGACCGACAAAGAAATAAACTGCGGTAAAAAGAGAATTACGAATCACCCTGTACGTATAGAAAGCTTCTGATTAACAAGCTCTCTCTTTGCCGTCTCAGATTAGAAAGACTGGTTTTAATTATATGGAAACACAAAAAAGTAATAAATAAAAAAATAATGACAGAAGTAACAAAACAAGATTAGATTAACACTGTTTTAAATTACAACCTATAATTTACTTCTATCGGTCAAACTCCACAAAAAAAATTGTTCATTTCACGCCGCATAATACAAATTACTAATTATTTACGCAAAATCAAACTTGATGCAAGAGAAAGGCGAAAGCACACAGTCTGCACAGATGCGACAGCAAAAATTCAATCTGTGCGTCATAAATTTCAAAATTCCTCTCACCTACTATCATCATGCGCCGATAATCGCTGCTTTATTAGATGAAATAATTTTCAATTTGCACATGATTTTGCATCATCGCACGCTCTCTTAATACCGCCGGCGAATAGGAATGGCCAATTAACGGGCAAGTATCGGCTCTTATCATTTCGAGAGATCTGTATGCACCTATGCGAGCGCAATGTTCGTGGAGATTGCCAGCTCTGAAATGTCGAAAGCGCTTCTCCGTGCCTAAATTGATCCCAGTGGCGTATCGTGAAAGAAATTTATGATAACTATTAAGCATACATGAATAAAAAATGTACCTATTTTAAAATAATACATCAGGAAATAATACAGCACTGTTCAGCCATGCCTATTCTTCCCTTATTATTGCGATAATTATAAACTCATCACCGGCATATTTGTCTGGAAATGGAACATACACGGAAAAGGACATGTCGCGACTACGGTTGACCGATTAGACACCTGCTTGTTTTTAAACGGTTTGATAATAAAATGTACTTCCTGTTGGAAGTAATTACTGCCAACAGGGAAACGTACAGGGTATAAAAGTCGCTTACACTATTTTATCAACGGTAACCACATATTGAATATATCAGACATTTAAAAGTCTAATATTCGTAAAAATCGTTAATGCAGTTTTGAAAATGTAACACCACAAATGAGGACTAGTTAGATCAAAAACGTTTTATACTCGCATTTCATGAAAAGAACACACAATATTCGAATATTAGAGAAGTGTAAAATATCTCTTAGGAAAGCTTGTAACTGTTCTATAGATCGTCTCAAGAAAGAGTAAATCTTCCCTGAGAAGGTCTTGTTTACTTTTTCTACGATGTTTATTGGGCCTTCTTCAGAACATTTGAAGCACGTTTGCAATTTTAAATAACCACTAAATCTTCATACATTAATTCTAATAAAAATGCACATCACTTTTAATTATTACTTTGTTTCAAGGAAGCCAAATCAAAAGGATGTTTTGTAGTTTATATCTCACCACTACTGATGATAATAATAATAATAATATACTCCTCATTCTAATTACGATAATTAGCCCATAAGTCGGAGACTTGTGCGGGATAGGAGGCGGCATATTATTATTAGGCAGGCCGCATTTGCGCCCAGGAACGACTTATGTTGGTAGGCCCTAACATCATTCAGTGCATGAATGAGGGATACCTGGAAAACCTCAATAATTAGGGGGGTGGTCAAATGCCAACCGGTGTCGATCTCTCACATTGACCCAAGCCAACATTCTTCCACCCTACAATACCTGCACAGAGGGTGCCAATCCTCCGTACAAGCATAGCTAATCTACGGTCTACCGGCCGCGGGAATCGAACCCGGGCAGAAATTTGCACACGATTAAAGGACTGACGCCTTAAACCGTGCGGCTATCGACCAATGTTCTATAGATACCTTTACTATTACGTAGATGGAATTTCTAATATTTGATCAGAGTGACCATAACATATTCATTTCGAATTCAGGAACTTCTGGCTTTTCATAGGTGTTGATTAATCTTTTCACTTTTTATTTGAATAAAATAATTTGTCTAAATTTCAATTCAAGGTCAATTTCTCTTTCATCAGATATTTCACAAGGTTCCAATTTGGATCCCACTTTATTTCAATTATTTATTAATGAACTTGAAATTATGATGATGATGATGACATTTGTTATTTGCTGACAGCAAGCTCACTTTTATTGATCGTATTGTCTTGAGCTTTTAAATTACATTTTATAAATGTAGGGACGGACTTTTTGGTTTTATTAGGTCTAGATTCGATTATATAGTAAATGAAAGGCAATTCACCTAGAGGTTACTCTCAAAATGTTCTCCTGAATCCATTTAATCATAGAAAACTAGGTAACCTCACTAATTTGTATAACCTCCTATAAGACTGACTGTTCTGAAACTTTTGATATCTCGCGAAAAATAGACAGCAAACCTTATTTTACTCTGTTGCCCCCTTTAAACTAATCTTTTAACGAAATCTCCTATTTCGCTAATGTGTCAGCTTTATAATAAAATGGCAAATAACTCATTTGGAAGATATATATTTAGTTTACTTTATGTTTAGCTGTTCCACATTGATTGTTTTATTTAATATTTATTTTCAGTAATTGTATTTTTTCAACATCGTTATTGCTGCAATTGGGATTTTCCTGTTGCGATAATAAACGATATTATAGCAATATTAATACTTCCATCAATAAAAAGTCCATCCTCATTTGAATCGTCTAGTTCGTTCACTTTATTTTGTTTCATCTGCTCCAGTAGCACACTACACTCGAAACTCTACCTGTAGAGACAAAGATACCCACAAAGAAGCGTGCTTTCTTCACTTCACCTACTCTGGCGGCACTAATTATGTCTTTTATATGCTAATTATGTTAATGGTCTTGTAGAGGGGAAATTCTAATCACGATGCCTGTTTGAATCTGTATTAAATCCTCGATCATATCAACTCCAAGAGGTATGTTTCTACTGGTTGTATTTAAATGAAGAAGCATAAATGCTACCAGACAATCCTATGCTCAAAATATAATCGTCGGTGCAAATATACGTCAGTCCAAAGTAGCAATTTATTTACAAAATTGATTATGCCATTCGATAGAGGGCAAAAAGTTGCCTTTTTTCAATATCACCTCAAACAAGGCTGAAATGAAACAAAAACGGATTTCCAAAATTTCGTTTTTTTTTCAAATATTTGAAAACTAATCATGTTAGCCATGATTTTTTAGAGGAATAATGTTGGTCCCCTGATTACGCAACTTTGCCCCCATTTAAGCTACTTTGTATCTCTTACCGTTTCCCTGTAGTGAGAAGCGAATTTGTAACACCCTGTATACATTTTTAAAATTTTTAATAGCGTGCTCTACTCATTTTTCCTTATTTTCCCTTAAAATTATTGAGATTATGACTGAATCAGCCCGTATTTTCCTTTTTATTCGAAAAACAAATATTTTCTGAATTATTACAGTAGACAGTTGAATACACTAATAATTGTAACACTATACATTTCACAAAGCAATATGTGGCAATTTTTATTTCAAATGCAATTTTAAATACGTCTTTAAAAGTCTATAAAATTGAGTGATGTAGAAGTTTGCCCTTACCATCCCTCAAAAACTTTAAATGTCT